GACACTCTTGCTTGACACTCTGCTAGACACTCTTGCTGGACACTCTTTGCTAGACACTCTTGCTGGACACTCTTGCTGGGCAGAACACTCTGCTAGACACTCTTGCTGAACACTCTTGAAATGACATTCTGCTAGACACTCCCCTGCCTGTCTCAATATCCTTGTCACTCTCGTCTGAATCTGGATGTTCTTTTGCATGCTTCACCACTGCAGCGGCATCCTCATCCACAATCCTTTTCTTCTTCTCCTTCAATGTGTCGGCTGAAACAGTGGGAACTGGTTGAGGTGTAGGTGGTTGCATAGGTCTTGAATCCACCTTTGTTCGAACTCCTCGCTTCAAATCCCACGGTCCAACTTTGGCGTTCAACAGCAAATATCCATCCCAGAAATCACCTGTCTTTCTTACTGCTTTGCTTCTGATGACTTCGTCGGTGTCAACCAGGATTAGATCATGGTCCACGCTGTCTTTGCCAAGCCAACACCCTTTTCGCCATTGGGACTTGTAATTCTTCTGTAATGGATCAAGGCCCCAAATCATCTCTCCAAGACAACAGACTTTGCCACGGTATGGCCTTCCTCTCAAGCTCACATGCGCTGTAAGGCCTGTTGCTGAAGAAACATGGTAATGGTTCAACAACCATGCTGCGTGCGTCATGCTCCAACTCTGCATGACTCTGTCCTCCTCTATTGGAATCCTTGCTCGATCCTCCACGTGCGCCAGTAGTGTCTTGGCTTGCGCTCTCACCAACTGAATCATCCTCTCAGCCAAGCTTGTCCTGGACTTCTCATAGAAGCGCCCTGGCGTCAAAGTGGTCTCCAATCCTTGGTTGGCTCTAATCTGCTGAGCCATCCGTGCACCTGCTGCAAGCACGGGTTCATTGTCGTAGGCCAACTCAACACGTTCCATGTAGCCTAACGTGGAACCAAGGAAATGAGCCGTCAACTCTCCCAGAACTCCGGCATTCTTGCTCTTTACCGGCACGACATGCACGAACTTGGACCAAACATCAACCATCAGCAAAAGTGACAATGAAGCTGTATTGAAGAACATGTCGACTTGCACCGTTGGGTATGTTCTCAGTGCTGCATCTGATCCCTCTGTTGGATGCTTGTAGTCAGCTTTTGCTTTGCCCATGACACAGAAACTTTGCCTTTGTTGCCCTTACCGTTGGGATAGAAAGGAATCTGCCACCACTTGCCTTTGCCTTTGCTCTTGCTCTTGCCTTTTCCTTTTCCTTTGTCTTCAATGCGGTCGATCTCCATGGGTGCGGGACCGCCTGCATCTGTTCTGATCATGCCTCCTTCTGTCTTCACCGTCAGGCTACGAAGAATGGATTCTTGATTCCATGTCTTTGAGGCTTGTTCATGAGACAACATGGTTGCTTTGAGATTCTGATAGCTGCTGCTTTCAGTGATCGTCAAAGTCAAGTGTTCACGCAACTTGCTCTCTGCACAACGAATCAATGTTGCAATCTTCAACTCCTGATGAGGATATGTTGTGGAACCCAATGTCTCAAACTCTTGCACCAGCCGTTCATACTGCACAATGCATTCCAACACACTCTTGTCCTTTGGGAATGCTGGATAACTTGCCAACGCTTGCGCCACTGCCAAGGATATGCTCCTCGTCGAAGGCAAAAACTCTTGGCGCAACAGTTTCCACAACTTGAATCCATCCTGCGTCGACTTCTCTGCCTGCACCATGTTGAGGCATTTTCCTCTCATGTAGCTAGTCAGAATGGAAAACAACTTGATGCTCAATGCTTGTTCATCTGTGCTGTAATCTGACATGCTCGGCACCGTATCAAGCTGTTCAACCTTCTCCAACAATGCTTTGAACTTTGGCTCCACGAAATTCAACCAGGATGTAAAAACAAACTTCCAAGTCATGAAGCTGTGCGGATCCGAACCATTGTAGGGCTCGGGATCGCGCAGGATCTTCCAAGCTGCTTGAAGTCCAGCCTGCATGCTGCT